CTACTTTAACTTTTATTGTGTTGTTTTGGCATACATTTTCGATTGTTTTAATTATTCCTGGATATATCTCTGCGTACAATAAGAGAATAATGTCCTTTTATTTGACCATATACAATAACTTCTTAAGGTCTACGAAGCATAAATATGCAGTATATTGTATTTCTTATCTTAGCGTCGGTGTATGATCTTTCCAACCTAAAACCTTGTTGTTATCATTATCATTCTGCTAGTGTTATCATTGAATTCAATTTATTTGTTATTACTTTGTTTGTTAATTTATTATTGTATTTAATAAATTAAATCCTCTGTAATTTTCTGGGTCCGATTTGTCTCCCTTTTTGAATAGAGGTATTAGGATGCTTGTATATTCCAGGTCCCACATATGCTCCCACATTCTCAGCTTTCGGCGTTAAGTATATGTTTTTCCTTTGTCTGATAATTTCGAGCTTTACACCCATTGTTAATTACTTTTAAAGGCAATGATAATAAATGTTTTCTGTCTACGGACAACATGGAATGTTTCGTGTGCAAACAGTCAAAACATCTTGCTTCGAATTGCCCCAATATTTTATCTGAGAATTTGTCATCTAAAAATCCTACTCTCTCTCTCTCTCTCTTTCTCTGTCTCTCTCTCTCTCTCATGACCTTACTCCCACGAGAAAATCAACGTCACAGATAAATAATACACAACTTTCCTCTCTTACTGAACAGTGTCCCTGTCGAACAAATTGAACGTATCGTTCTTCCTCTCTAAAAAATTGCGAAAATGATACAATATCTAAAGTTTCTGATAAACTATGTTTAACTTTTTCACTGTCACAGAAGAGACCACACTGATTTGTATTATCTCTAAGCAATCAGAACCTTTAATCTGAGGAAAACCGCACAACAGAACAAACCATGTTTTCTCCTAAACAAATAGTTCCTAGGTCCTTTAGTCCTCTAGTCCAATACCAAAAAGAAGCGAAACCGTAGTTCTTCTGTCAACCCCAGTCTATCCACTGATTTCAAGCAAGCAATACAAGAAGCCTATAAATAAAACCCGAAAGCTTTTGCACTCCCTCCTGATAATATAATTGCTTTATCGAAAACGCTTACGGTAATTTTCACCCTGTCTTAGAAGCATTCAAATCTACAACAGATATTAAATCACTAATTCTAACTTTGCAATCAATTAACCCAACTTTTAAAGAGAGATCTACAAAAATCACAATTACACGCTTAATTAAAAAAATTAAAACTAAAATACATTCTGCAAAATATAACTCAGAAAGTATAGACAGTCTTGATAATTCCCAGAATGCTTGTGATAAATAATACGTATCTGATAGTTCCCAAACCTCGCAAAAATCCTAACCCTCTACAGCCTTCCATTTTAGCCTTCACGTTGATACAATTAAACTGTGATGGATTCTGTCCTCGTCGTTCACGCTTTGAACAGCTTATTGCTTTCAGCTATAAGTTTTATCATGACTTCCTATGCCCACAAGAAACAAATTTCACTAATAAATATTCTGGAGACCTTAAAATTTTACTGGTTACCACTAGTATCGAACTATCCAACTTTGTGCCAGCGGCGGCACATAATTTTTTTTTCCAATTTCCGCTAAACATAACCATCAAAGCTATAGCCGTTACAGCTTGGCGTCCTTACAAAATTATAATTTGTTGCATAAATGTATTCCTTCAACATACTGTTTAACAAGTTCGACTCTTAAAGATTTAACTGTTCAGCTGCACATAATACTATGCGGGGTTCCGAATACACATTTGGAAGAGTTGAAACAATTGAAAATTTAGTAAATAATGTAATAATAATCCCGGAATATTTCCCTTACTTTTATGGTACACATTAAACAGCCTCTATGATAGTAATCATTTCCCTATTCACATCTCCGACAAGTCAAAAATGGCTTCAAAAATTATAAAAAAAAATATAAAATCGCTCAAGAAAACTGGGCACTTTAAAGAACCACTGTTAAGACTATTAAATAACTGTTTAACTGAATCTGCCGAGGAATGTATTGATCAATGCGCAATTGATCCTTCCAGAAAACTTGTTCTCTGGTGAAATGAAAAAAATCTCTCGTGCAAAATAGCAGTCAAAATTTTAAAAAACTTAGGTCCAATTCCAGGCGTATTTTAAAAGCAAGTAAAAAAGCCACATGGAATCAGTACATTAGTTCAATCACAAACGACACTTCACCAGCGCAAATGTAGTCAAAGATAAAATGTATGACATAATACACCCAGCAGAATTACCGCTATCTCTCTGCAGGATCAAACAATCACCGATACAATACGAATTACCAGGATTAACATATTGCATATGTCTTTCCCTCCCACTTTTCAGATAAATTCAATATTCCCAATCTTTCCAATAACATAACATTTCCATCCCAAAATGTGCTCTAGAACTAGTTCTATTAATATATCTTGTAATCTAGAATTAAACAAAGCCATCTCCTTTTTAAAAAACTCAACAGCCGGTCCAGACGATATCCCATCAGTATTCTTAAAAAATCTTCATTCTGATACACATCTTAAAATACTAAAAATAAAACCTTGTCTCAAAAACAGTTTCCAATGTTATGTTTCTCTCACTTGTTCACTATGTAAACGGTTAGAAAAGATGATCAATAAACGCTTGCTATGGTATCTAGAAAGAAATAATATTGTTGAACCATTCCAAACAGTCTTCAGATCAAATCAAAGTACAAATAAATACCTTGGTCACATTACATACTGACATTGTTAACGCATTTTCGAAGAAAAACGAAATCATAGTAGTAACTTTTGATATTAAAAGTGCCTTTGACACTGTACAAACACCTCTAATTCTTAGAAAATTAGCAGAATATAATTTAATTCTTAATTTAACTCTTAATTTAACTCTTAACATTTATTTATTTAAAAAAAATTCCTAACAAATCGATCTATTAGAGTATTAACAAATAAAAAAATATTAAAACCACATGCTTTGGATAACGTTTTACCTCTGTTTTAAGCACTACCTTATTTTTCCTTAGTATGAATTACTTTCACTCATATATAGAAAGACCAGTCAGGTACTCGATATGTATGCTGATGATGTTATATAATACTGACAAGGGAGAGTTTACAGGTAGACAGCTATCACCAAAACTTTGCTACAAAATACAATAAACAAAATAGACACCTGGTCTACGTGTGCTGGATTTGTATTTTTAGCTTCCAAATCCAAAGTAATCTACTTTACCCAAATATCATAGATCTAATCTACTTTCTGAAACTATAAACACATTTCGTTTACAAACAGTTAACTATTTGACACTTCTTGGTGTAACCTTTGATAAAAAGCTTATCTGGAGACAGCATATTCAGAATTTTAAAGGAGACTGTGTCCAAAGGATTAATTTACTCGAATCTCTTATTAACTACTCTTGGGAAGCTTACGAAAAATCTTTCCTTAAAATATATATGTCGTTAATCCACTCAAACTAGACTAGGGAAATATTCTTTATATGGCATCTAGTTGATACTGAGTAGTCTTTAAACACGATTTAAAATACAAACCTACGACTATGTCTTGGTGCCTATAAATCAAGCTATGCTGAAAGTGTAAAATCTTCCGAGTCACCACTCCATCTAAGAAGGCAGCAACTCCTACTTTCATACTTTGTAAGAATATCATAAATAAATAAACGTAATATAATAAATAAAATGTAATATAATAAATAAACTTTGAAAAATTAAAGGCAGATATCGAGAACAATTTTATTCATTAAATCTTGCCCAAGTACTTTCACTTTCTAAAGCATCATCAGGGGCATTTCATCAAATGTGGGCTATCCAGCAAGCGCAGAATGTAATAAACATGAAAATACAAACACAATTTGATAAAATTTTATACACCGATGTGTCCAAGAATGAAGAATGTTGTGGCTGCGCTGTGTCCACAATGACGATGACAATAAGCTTTATGAGACTACTTAGATGTTTTAGTATTTACACGGCAGAATAATATGAAGTAATTTAAGCATTAAAGACTTCAATCTTCCCTGCATCAAATAAAAGCAAAGCAATCACCATTTGTACTGATTCTCTTTTCTCGATGCATTCCCTAAGATGCATATTCTCCAAAAATTCAACTTTATTCTGCTAATATTACAGTCATAATGATCTGGTCCCATATTGTTATATTGGGAAACGAAAATGCAGACCAGGCCGCTAAAACAGCATGTTACTTTGACAGCCTTCAAAAAGGTCCAAACTCATACTTATCTTAACATATTGATTTAACAAAAAATCCTCAGCTCATTGGTGGAACTATGGAAAAAATAAAAATTGAGCTGTATGACGTTCAACACAACTTACTTACCTCAATATTATATCTTTTATAAACAGGAAAGTAAAATGAGTTATTCACCGACTACGAATAGGCCATACACATCTCACACCTGGATACCTTATGACATCAGAAAACCCTCCAGTATGCCATGATCGCAATACTCTCCTTTCCATCAAACACGTGATACTGGACTGCTGTCAGTATGACTCTTCTAAAAGGAAGCACAACTTAAAAACGAAATCTAAAAGACATTCTTAGTGTTCAAACCATTTTGACAGTGTTCCAAAATTTATTAAAGAAACACATTTATTTCAGCTGATTTAACCAGTGCATAGTATTAAGTTTTATTTGTTTAATTTCTCCAGTAATAAGTGTGCATACGGTTTTTATTCGGTGGAGAAATACATTTAATATTTTAAGTTTTATTGAAATTCATTGAAAATACTCATCAATCTCATATCTTTTAACATAGCTGTTAAGATACTTACCTACGTATTATAAACAATTTTGTGAAATATCTGTGAATTAACTTTATTGTTTTTATGTTCAAATACGTTCTATATTTGTGTTAACTTACTTTTAAATCATTGTGATGTTCTTGACTTGCTACAAACCTGTTTACCATATGTGTAACCTAGTGAAATAAATAAACGCTAGATAATTTTTTTAGGTTACATCCTCCAACAGGCACGCTATCCTTTCTTCATGTTGGTATCTAGACAATATCAAAAGTGGCGGAGATTGGTTAAAATTCTATGATTGTGATCCGCACTCTTTTACAGACGATCCTATATTGCGGTCTTTAGTAAAGGGAGGTAAGCAAATGTAAATTGTTAATGTTCCTGAGTGTATCGGTCTGGTATTAATAAAATCAATCAATATGTTTCACAGCAGCCACTTTCAATCAATTTTACATTTTCTGTATTACATGTTATAGTGTGAAATTAAGTTAAACTATAATGACTAAAATATGGCAAATACATAACTTTAAAATATTAAATCCGTAAAATAGTTTCGAAACACAATTCAGATTTCTGCTTTAATCTGAACCTTCTAAGATTGCAAGGTATAACAGACGTTGATAAAGATTTTAAAAGAGACATGGGGAATCTAAAATTTGCATTCCACGACATGTCTCCTCAACTAAGCAGAAATTCTTAGCGAATTGGTTTCTGGTACTCATACAGAGTAGATCCGAATAAAATGAAAAAGACAGCAAATATTTGATTTCACGTACAAAGCGTCTATGTATCTGTTAATACGTATTTCGACCTAGTAGGCGGCCTATGAATAACTATTCTGATGAGACCTATTAGGTCGAAATACATATCAACAGATAAATAGACGCTTTGTACGTGAAATCAAATCTTTGCTGTCTTCTTCATTTTAAAATATTAATTGTTAATTGGTTCCACCTGGTCTTCTTTTTTTAGTGTTTCTAGTTTTCTTCTTGTTTCAGTCTTCCTAGTTTCCATCTCAGTACTTGCTTTAGGATTATATCTCTGTCCATGCTCTGTATATGTCCATAACACCAACTGTTTGTTTTTTGTGTTTCACTTAATTTTTTCTAATTCTGTATGCTTTTTTACATCTTTAAAGCGAAGAAGGAAAATTTGCATACAGACACCTGTGACTCACACAGGTAGTGTTGGGTTCCTAGTATCCTTGCAAAGCTGTACTAGGGCAAGATGCTCAAGGGATTTAGACCTTTGACACTTCGTCCCGTCACCACTCCGAGACGGTCGGCGTCTAACTAAAAACCTCTCCTCTGCCACACCAGACATCAGGATGGAAGGGCCGGTTAAAGCAGCAAACATCTCTCCTGGTGCCCTGCTATCACCCGATTTTCATTCGTTCTCCGACACATTCATCGAGAAAACCACACCAACACGAACCAACACGAGCCTTAGCGAGGCTGCCATCTCTCTCGCGTCTTCTGTCTCTTATTTACTTTTATTTCGGCCTGCGACAGTCCGAACCCCACCAAGGTGCTAATTGTTTGTTTTAGAATTATGTTGCGAGTTCCCTCTCCTCTCGTTCTTTTGAAGAGACAGCTTCCTGATAAATTTGTGGTTCCGTGTCCACCACCACTCATCCCTCATCATTTTCTCCACCTTTTCTCTCACGGAATATTAAACATTATGCAGTTACACTCTTTTGCAAATTTCTTTTTTTTATCCGCCCAACGCTCACACTTCAACATCGTGTATGTCACAGTATCCGAGAAACCACAGTAAAGGCACTGATCGAACTGAGCCCTCCTAAACCTAAAAAGGTAGCTGCAGAAGCAGCCATGGCCTGTGAGTATTTGCGTTAGATAATAATCCAGCTGCCTATGCCCACAGTCCACCCAGCTTTGAAGGTTAGGGATTAGTGACTTCAACCACTCCGACACATCACGTGTTGCCTCCTACTCTTGTTGCCACTGACCGATTGAAACTAATCTCTCGGCCAGTCTTATCTCATTTATTTCTCGCTCTTCAATGTTCCGCCCCTACGACTGTGAATTCTAGCCCTTTCACCGGCCAGCGCATGCAAAGGAAAAGATCCGGTGATAACCCACAAAGCATCAGCTGACACAGTCCTGTAGGCACATGCTCCCGTAGCAGACTAGTTCTGCCCACGCGTACCATGAGCTTCTTGTAAGTTAGTATTTTATTGCCTAACTCTAGACTAGGTCCGCGTAGAGGATGACAGACTGCACAAAACCGTGGAGCGCCCTTCTCCTTTCGGATTTGGGACCACCGATATTAGGCATTATTTTCCCCACCGCAGCCATTCTTTGAATAGCTCTGCGGGTCACCCCCCTCAAGTGTTCCACCCAACTCTTACTGTGGTGGAGATTAACTCCCAGATACTTGACGTACGTTTTGGTACGTTTGATACTTGACGTCACTCTCGCTCCTGCGTACTTAAATTCAACCCTATCTCTCTTTCTGTAGCCTCTGAGTACTACAGCCCCCGTCTTATCCTCCGCGAGAGAAAGATCATGCCCACTCATCCAATCCTCAACTAGGACAAACGCACGCGTAATCCAAAGCAAGAGTTCCTCCCTCTCCCGTGCCTCCACTAGCATAGCAAGATCATCCGCGAATGCGGAGGTAACACTCTCTCTATATTCGCAGTTTAAGACCCCGTCATATGCCAGGTTCCACAGTGTCGGACCCAGGACGGAGCCCGTTACATCCTCCATCACACCATTTTCCACCACAATCTTCCTCTCGAAAAGATAATCAGCGACCGCATTCCTCAAATACCCAGGACAGTTCCTTCCCTCTAAAGAGCTCATTACGTGACCCAACTGTAATGTATTAAAAGCATTTCGGACGTTAAAGAGAATCAGGATGACCCATCGATGATCAGCTCCAATTCCCCGTGATGCTCGGAGCACATCGGTCACCGCATCCACTGTACTTTTACCCTGGCAGAAACCATATTGCCTCGGACACAGGCCTCCAGACTACGTTCACTCGATACGCAAACGTATCATTCTCTCATACAGCTTTCCGATACAAGGAAGGAGGCAAATAGGACGATATTTTCCTGCCTCGAATTTAGGTAGGAGCACGAGCCTCCATATTTTCCAAAGATCCGGAAAAGACAGCGCGGCAAGAAGAGCATTCATGTGCTTCAGCATATTCAGTATACTGTGAGGTTTTTACTTCCAAATAATTATACTCCGTGGAAGCTCTTGTTTCTTTCTTGTGCATCATTTTCTTCTAATACCGATTGTCCTCCAATGCATAAATATTCCGACATTTACTTGTAAACCTTATTCGTTGTATTCTTCCATCAATTTTCTGTTATATAATTGGACGTCAACTTGGACGAGCACAACATGGTAGTCTTCAAAACATAAGAATGTAAATATAATACAGTCGAAAAAAATTTAAAAAAAAATTCGACGTTTCAGTCCCCTATTTGTTCACCGTTTATCCTGAATATGTCAAAAAGTATCATATCTACGACAAAATGGGATATAAATAAAATTGTGCACTTAAATTTTCTATCAAAATTGCTTGTTCTGGTAGGCAGGTGGTATCTGTTCTCATTTGAGTAAATCATATATGATCCTATTTTTTTCTTTAATTTTTTTCTTTTCTTTGCTATATCACGGCAACTATACATTTTAGAATAATTTTGGTAACACAACAATGTTTTGCAATTAAATTTCCTAATAACTTTAATCATTTCAAAATTAGCCAAAACCATTCAAAAAAGTCAAGTATTAATATTTTTTCAATAATTTTTTAGGTATTTAACAAAAACCCTACACAAAATTTCAGTACAATCAGTCAAGAAGTTTTTGAAAAACATTTTTTTAAATATAAAAATGTTATTAATTTTCAAAATTTGGCAGAGCCAACAAAAAAAGTTTTAAATATTGAATTTTTTGACGTATATAACTCTAAAATTTTTAAGCTAATAAACAAATAGAATAACTTTTTCAATTTTTATTTACAATACAATTATATTAATAAAGGGCTTAGATTACAATAGACCTTACAGTTGTGTCTTATAAAATTATTTATTTTTATATTTTCTGATTATTTTGTATTTAACACAAAATTCGTAATCGATCCGAAATTTATTAAATTAATTTTGTATATATCACAAATACAAATTACATAGATATTTACTTTTTTCCAGTTAGATAGTTTAAAAATGACTTAATAATTAACTGATTCGGAATTCATTAAATTAATTTTTTATTTAATAATTTAATAAATCCCGCTTTGATTACTTATAGGTCATTTTTTAAACTATTTAAAGGCAAAAAAATTTAAAAATCATCCTTTTTTTGCGTTAAATACAAAATAAAAAAAAATAAGAAAAATCAATAATTCTACAAAATACAAATGTAAAATATATTTTAATTGTAAGCTTTTTATTAATATCTTGTATTGTAATTAAAAATTGGAAAATTTGTTTATTGGCTTAAAAAGTGTAAAAAAAACACTTAAACAACACGGTTAAACAATTTTCCAGGCTCTCGTATATAACAACTGATTTCAAGAAATTTAATTTTATTTTAAGGTAAAAGGTCTTTTATATGTAAAATAATTACGTGTTTATTTTTTTTTTTTTTTTTGTTGGTTTTTGTTGACAAAATTATTTTGCTAAAACTACTTAATCGATTGTGCAGTGTAGTAATACTACTTAATTTTGTGTAGTGTTTTTTATATTAAGATTTTCAAGAGATTTTTTGGGTACATTTTGTAAACTTGATAAAATTAAATTATTAGAAGAATTTTTCACCAAGTAACAAAAAAACCAAATTTGTTTAATTTACTGATGTTTGTAATTTGAGATTAATTTCCGAAGTGGAAAATGAAACGTCAATGAACTTACTTTAACCTTTAATTGTGGCTTATTCCCATTTAAATAGTAAATAATATTAAAATTTAGACTTCTTTAATATACAAGTTTATATATGTTTTGTTCTAACCATTTTTTTATATACTCCATTCAATAGTTTTATCCGTAACAAAATAAAACCAGAGGTTTAGTATGTGGTATTTCTAGTATTATTTGCCTGTTAGAAATCTCTTGATGGGCCCTAGACGGGACGCGAGTGTTTTTGTATTTTTATTTGACTGTTTTCTATGGATAGCATATTTGTTTGACTAAAAAAAATACAGAATTGTTTATTATAAACAATTTACAATAAACAATAGAATAAACTATTTATTTTAAATTACTATTTGTACAAATATTTTACTCATTTAACAGGTTACCACTTTAGAGATATATAAATGTTTTTAGGTGAAGCTTGCATGTGGGGGGAGGTCGTAAACCAATACAATGTAATTTCAAGAGTATGGCCAAGAACTTCAGCTGTTGCTGAAAAACTTTGGTCACAATGGGAAGACAAATATGATGAAGACGAAGTCAAAAGGCGACTGGAGGAACATACATGTAGAATGAACAGACGAGGGATTGCAGCTCAGCCACCTAATGGTCCTGGTTTTTGTTATTAACATCGATTTGTACAAAACTTTTTCAAATAGAAATTAAATGGTTTCCCCAAACAATTGTGACTTTTTTAATATCAATTTTAGTAACTTAAACAATTTGAATGTGTACAAAATATTTTTAATCTCTCGGCTATATATATATATATATATATATATATATATATATATATATATATATATATATATATATCATATTATATATATATATATACATATATATCATATTATATATATATATATATATATATATATATATATATATATATATATAAATATATATAGTGGCTAAGAGAAATCGCTGGAAATAACTTTCAAGTCTCTGGGTTAACCGCTAGAAGCCATAACCTGTGAAGAAAACTTTGAAAAAAAAAACCAGTTTTTTGGGAAATATGCCCAATTATACCAAGTATTAAATAAGATACAAAGAGGACTAAATTCTGCACAAAGTTGTTCAAGTATTTTTTTTATTTTTTCAAATAAAGGGTGGAGAAGAGTGGGAAAGGATTGTGGATAAATACCTCTAACTTTGGTTTGGATCAACCTATTTTAACGAAATTAGTGTCATTAGAAAGAGTGTGGATGAATTAACTTTTATCTACTATAAAATAATTGCATTTAGTTTTAATTGTCATCGGTAGAGGGTACTTTCGAATAAAAAAAATTAAAATTTGTTTTTCTTCAAATTGTTTAATGGAAACACCTATCTATTGTAAATTATAATTGAACTGGATTAAATTCGTAACAAAATGGCACAAACTGCATGTTAATAGCTTTTGTCTAACTCGAGATACGAATAAAAACGCCTAAACATAAGTAAGTATAGTATTGACTCACCCTGTATTATAAATTAAAGTAAAAAATAAGTCAGTAGGTACGTTCAAAAAATTTTATAGCAGAATAATTTTAATGTTAATACCTATTTTGACCATTTTTATTTCATATGATTAAAATAGTTTTTTCTAAACTAAGTAGGCTACGACAATGAATTTAACGGGGAGTTGATATTATTTATTTATTGACAGCAGTCAAAACATTGTTAAGAAGTGTTATATTATAATTCGAATTGAAGATTGCACTTTTTTCAATAGATATTAATATTGGTAATACTAGTAATTAATTATCAGTACTAATAATTAGTGATAAGTATATCAAATGCAGAATTGTATGATATGATTGGAGTTTATATTTCGAATGTCACCAAAATGCCGCTATTGCCTCACGTATATATTCTGTAAGATATCCAGACAGGAGATATTATGGCAAAGAAGTATTTAAAAGAAAGGTAAGAAGATGAAAAGAAACTTGTAGTTTTCATCATCCTTGTTTTAAACGACGTAGTAGAGGTATGACCGAAGATAATTCAATCAATGTTCTTGCTTTAAGTCAACATAATCCACGTCTAAGTAGTCGGCAAATCTCTATAGAATTAAACATATCCAAAACTACTGTTCTAACGATTTTAAAACATAACAGGTTGGTTTTTCATATTATAAAGAGAACATTTAGGTCAGTAACTTTCTAGGAATTCCCTTTAAGCTTTAGATTCAACTGTTTTTTTATATTCCGATAAAAACGGCAACACGTCGCTTTTATCCTTTATTGGGAGATATTTCCTTACAAACAAGAAGAGATATGATATTACAACATGACGGGTGTCCTACGCACTTTTCCAGACGAGTTCAAGATTATTTGTATGCAAGTTATCCAAATAAATCGAATGGAAGGGGATGTATATTTTCATGGCCAGCTGGATCTCCAGACTTAACATGTCTTGACTTTTTTCTGTGGGGAAGATTGAAGGACTTTGTGTACTAAACTTGACCAATCACGCGAGACGACATGAAACAGCGCAATATAAACGCAATAAATAGTATATCAACAGCTGAGATTAAAGCAGCTGTTATGTCTACGCGCGAAAAATTACATCTTTGTGTGCACAACGATATAAAACAATTTAAACATTTAATTGGACATTAAGTTTTACCGATCGAGATATTTATATGATCTTTCACATATTTCATTTTAAGTTATAATAAATAGGTGTAAATAGTAGTCAATACTATACTTACTTATGTTTATGCGTTTTTATTAATATCTGGAGTTCGCCAACAGCTATCAATATGCGGTTTTCCCCATTTTGTTACGAATTTAATCAAGTTCTTTTACAATTTACAATACATAAGTGTTTGCATTAAACATTTTGAATAAAAACAAATTTTAATTTTTTCTTTTCTAAAGTACCCTCAATTGTTTTATAGTAGATGTATATTAAATTATCCACACTCTTTCTAATGACACTAATTTCGTTAAAATCGGTTGATCCAAACCAAAGTTATTTGTGAATAAATATATTATTCACAAATACTTCCCACTCTCCGCCACCCTTTATTTGAAAACAATAAAAAAAAGTACTTGAACAACTGTGTGCGGAATTTAGATACCTCTATTTAGGTCTTTCTAGTTTACTTATTTCTTGGTATAATTGGACACATTTCACAAAAAACTGGTTTTCAAATTTTTCTTCACAGGTTACGCCCCCTAGCGGTTAACCCTGAAACTAGAAAGTTATTTCCAACGATTTCTCTTAGCCACTTTTACTAAGGAATTTTTTCTCCTGAAGATATAACAAGAAGAGTTTCTGATATATAGCCGAGAGATCGGCTTATTGGACCACCCGGTACATATGAATAACAAATGATTGGATCTCTAGATAGATTGAGGGATCTTGCAAAAAAGATTTGAATTGATTTAAATCTTGACTGTTTTTTTCTTTTTATTCCGATATACTCTGTACGAGTACAAGAAACCAATTCGATAAGGATTTTTGCTTAGTTGAGAAGATATGTCGTGGAATGCAAATTTTAGATTCCCCATGTCTCTAATAACATCTTTATGAACGTCTGTTTTGCCTTACAATTCTTAGAAGGCACAGATTAAAGCAAAAATCTGGTTGTTCGAGAATTTGTTTGTTGTTTTGCGATCCATCCATGATATTTTTAAAATACTTCGTTAACACCACATTTTGAATGCTTCTAAGGTTTTAATGTTGGAGTTTTTAAGTATCCAAGCTTCAACCCCATACAAAAGGGTAGATAAAATATAACATCGAAGCATTGTTATCCGGAGCTATATATTGATATCGCGATTACAAAAAAGTTTTCTCATTCTATTAAAAGTTGACCGTGCAATTTCAATGCGGCATCTTATTTCTTTTTTCTGATCAGTATCTTCTGTGATCAATGCTCCAAGGTATTTGTACGAAGATATTTGTTTAATTTCTGTATTATCTAGTACTAGCTTAACTCTAATGTTTTGTGCTTTTGTAAATACCATGAACTTGGTTTTAAAAAAATTCTTAATGAGAAAAAAATTGTCGAATATGTCCATACTAAGTCTTGGATTGTGACCTTTAAATCGCAAACTTTATCTAAATATATGGTCATTAATAAGGTTATTAAAGAAGTTAAAATATATAAACAGAAAGTTTTGTTATGCTTACTGTCTTAGATACGGCTACTTAGGAAATCAATGTAAGAGTCAGCCAAGATGTAACAGAAGCCAAAAAACTCATAATTCAAAGGATTGTACAAAAGTTGAGTTCACTTAAGTATGTTTCAGTTGTAAGGGGAATCATTTGACCACAAATTTAAGAGCGTGCCCAGAATTGACAAAATTAATAAAAGAGACTATAGGTTTAACAGACATTAATTTTTACGATGCCAATAAACAATTGCCTAAGAATTCATCTGCTAGTATTCTTAGGACCAATACAGCCACCAATTATACAAATTCTCCACAAAATTCACAACCTTCTACTTCCTCCCAGGGAAATAATTTTGCTAAATTTATATTTAATCGTCAGACAAACACCAGTAGGCCGAATAAAAGGCAGGAACTAAATAATTCAGACCCAACCGATATAGCTAGAGAAGAAATAGTATCTTCAGTTTCTCTTCCAAAACATCCTCAGGGAATAGTTAAAAGTCAATTCCACCAAAAAAACTTAAACATTGCAGATTCACGGTCAAAAGAATTAAATTTTTCTGTAACATTAAATTCGCAGATTTATATAAAATAAACATAATACAGTGGAGCTGTCGTTCAGCAGTTTCTAATAAAGTGAATTTAGAATATTTACTTCATCAGAACGACATCACTATAGCTCTATCATCTGAAATGCCAGTTGTGCTTTCCCTTTGAAATCCAACATACTAAATGAAGAAATAAATTTTCAAAATACGTATTCGTTTACATATAAGCGTATTTCAATAAAAATTTCACATTTAAAACAACCTTTACATATAATTTCTCTACATAATGAACCCAGAAACAAAGTTTTAATTCAATAATGGATACATTTTTTAGAAAATATACTAAAACCATTTATAATTGAAGGCGATTTTAACGCACACAATTTGGCATAAAAAACATGCGTTTATAAATTATAAACATAATCCAACGCTCCAAAACCTAATGGAGTATAAAAGACTATATGCTATTGCAAAGAAAATCTTCAAACATAAAAAAGGAGAACTGGATTGATTTTTGCGAAAGCCTAAACTCAAGAACTCAAGATAAAAGATGTCTGGCAAAAAATTAATTGTTTTAAAAACCGCAAACATGCCAACAAAGTACCTATTGATCCAGAAGATACATGGTTGCAGGAATTCCATAGAAAAATTGCCCCGGCATGGGTTCCAAATGACGACACTGTACAAGAATATATCCAAACAGTATCCAGACAAAACCACAATTTTGACGAAAATTTTCATTTATGGGAATTACATCGAGTCCTTGAACAAAGCAATAATACTTCTCCAGGTATTGACAATGTGTCATATTCGCTGTTATACAACTTACCTATAGAATATAAAATTTCACTAGTAAACATTTTTAACAATATTTGGACAAATAAGACACCAGTACCAAATAGTTGGAAAGGGTACCTAGTAATTCTGATTATAAAACCTGGCAGACCAGAACGTGATCCAAGTTCTTACCGACCGATCTCCTTATCTTCATGATTTTTAAAAACATTTGAAAGAATAATTA